ATGTATAGTTAATTGTGGTGACCATGTTACAGAAGAGCATTTTGATATGAAAGTTTGCTCTATCAAATACTAGTTTACATGGAAATAAATAGGAGGCACTACTTTCAGAGTGATCTATGTATCATGGCACCAGAAAACCTGTTGGTGACATTAACACAAAACCTTTCATATTAGGAAAAGAAGCTGACGAATTCCTACATAATAAGAATTCAATGAACACCCTGGGATCTCTCTAAGCTATCAATGTTTTAAGTTAAAAATCTGCTGCAATTTATATATCTGCATAAAAGACAGTAATTGCTGTTTGTATATGCATGAAGGGGAATTTGGTACTATATATCACTTAGATTAAAAAAAAAAATTAAAGGTGGAAATCATCCTCCCCAGTCCCCTCAGCAGCAAATAACAGGTACTGAACGCTTGTAATAATGAAATCAATTACAGCTATCCTAGTCATCAAACAAAATTGAAGACCTTAAATTCTTACACAACTTGGAAAGAGCCTGCATCTTTCAAATAACAACCTTACTTGGCATTTCTTATAATTCATTCTACAAACAGCTGTAGCACATTTTTTATATTAAACAAGGATATTAAAGTTGATACCAGTCTGACTTCATATGGATTTCCTTTGTTCCAAGCATTTTGTTTTAATGAATCACTAACCACATTCAAAAAAGCAGCTGCTGAGCATGAGGTTCTAGACAGACTACCTATTCTGGATGTAGACTATCTATGGGAGATGATTGTTACCTCCACTTCAGCTACAACAGCAAAACCAGCTAGTCTGGGTTTATTTTTTCTAAAATAAGTGAGTACACACACCCTGAAATAACATGTAAAAGCTTAACACACACTGAACCTAAATGAGCTTAAGAATAATATTTTTGAAGGGATGTTTCTGTAATCCTCCAAATACTACAGTTACTTAAAATAATACCCAGAGCTTTTTAGAGCCTCCAAAAATGCACTTATTTGTCAGCAGCAATCTTGTGAAAACCATCACAGACACATAAGCGTGCTTACTCAAGATACCCAGGAATGTACATACTTACATCAAGAACTAGAAAAAGTGCCACAAGCTCTTAGAGCTTAGCATTGCACTCTTCTCACACAGAAGGATAGGCAAAAGCTTAACAATTTCACTTGCAGAAGATTTTGTCAGTCTTCACAGTCAGTTCGATTATATTACTCAATTTCACCTAGCTAATTTTGATACAAACCATGTCACTAAAAAACAGTATCTTTGCATGAACATCTGAAAAGAGAGTGGCCACGTTTCTAAAAAGGAAAGTCGCAGGAGACAAAAGGGAAAAAAGATAACATTCTCCCTGCCTCCTCGTTTTTGCACTGCTTGGTCATCAGGCATGAGGTTTATGAAAAGTAGCAGTGCTCCAGCAGAGTGTAAAGCTTGCCTTCATCTCTTAGCAGCACATGCAGCATTGAGGCACATGCTCCATAAACTCAGAGGTGACCTTAGGTACTGTAGGTTTGAGATTCCACCACCAGGATAGAAAGAAAGGAAGAAATCTGAGAAACTATCAAACTGCTTTTCCTTCCACTCTCACACTAACAGCATTTGAATTCCATTAGCCATCAACTAGCAGCATTTCATGATTTGGTCAGCTTCACCATAAAATGATGGTGATAAAGATATGTCTCAGCCGAGACAGCATCCAAGATAGACAGAGCTCACTAAGATAAACAGACCACATAAGCACACCTATTTTCATTTCAGAAAAGCAAATTACAAAGGCTGTTCTGGATTGCCGTCTGCACAGAGAGGTTCAATCACAACTTTCAGGGATGAACCTCAGAACATTCATACGTTCAAACTTCCATTTGCTATTCTCATTCTAATGCAAAACTAGGAATTCTTCTGTATTTACAAACTCACATGGAACAGCTGATCAATATCGCCTTTGGTCACATAATCCCAAAGGTTTGAGTGCAAAGCAAAAGAAGGTGTGACTGCAGCCCTCCTAGCTGTGTCACTGTCTTCTTTCCCACTATTGTTACCGCATTACTGCTACCACTATTGTTACCATAATAACCTATTCCTGCTATTGTTACCATAATCCCATTAATTCAGTCTAGGTACATGCCAATGTCAAGCTTCCATTTCAATAATTTAAGTTCATACCCAGAACGCCCACGTAGCCCCTCCAGCTCTTTTTGAAGCTTTCAGCAAACAATAAGGTATTATTATTGAGAACATATTGACTTCCTGGGTAGATAGTGAGTACTCATTGCATGTTCTCAGTTCCTAAAGTGTACAGGAGCACAAGGCACTGAGGACATGTCCATGTGCCAGGCAGTGGTGCTGGTTGTGCAGGCTTCTGTGTGCTGGGGGAAATCCCACATGTGCAGGAAATCCAAGAGAAATGATTTATGGTCATGATGCGCTCCCGTCCCACCGCTCAGACTGATCATCTCAGGAGTATTAATCTGAACCCTGTCATCTCATCAAATAATGAACTTTACCCTTTGGCTGAGAGATGAAAAAAGAAGGCGGGGGGAAGGGTGGGGAAGGTACTGTTGTACATGCTTATCAGTGCCCAGTTGCAGCACAGCATGCCCCTGCAAGAGCTATAAATAATAAGTTCTTCACATCTATCTGTAACACTTCCAGGGTGCACATCTCCAGGACATTAACATGAAACACTTACACACCTGCATAAAAATACAACACTCTATTTCCTCCCTAGATGTTTCTGCTTCTTATGTTGGAGTATCCTTAGCATCAACCATACTCCACAAAAATGTTCCTACAGCTGAACTTCTTTAAATAGAAGTAAAGAGGAATAAAGATCTTGTGCCAAGAGTTGGCCCAAGATGCTGTATGACCTGCACTTATGTAATACCATGCAATCACAGGCATGGGTTGATGGTTGGATTGGATGATCTTACTGGTCTTTCCAACCTAAGTGATTCTGTGATTCTATGCAGTACTATGGATGGAAAGTAAAAACAGGAACCACAGCAGCCACAAACACAAGAGATCATACATTTTTCATTCAAGTTCAGAAAGTTCAAGCTACTGACTTTTTACTGACAATATAATCACTTTTTCCTTGAAACAATTACTTACAGTTTACTTATTTAATCCTATCTAATCACTTCAGACAGCCATCCCATGTTCTCTCATTGCAGGAACAAATATGCATAATATTTACTCCCTCAAACAGTTCCAGCAAAGGCAACAAACCCACAGCTGAAGACTTCCAATGTGACAAAGCCTTCTGGGATGCAGTCTCTCATTCTTCACTGCTCTCCATTAGTCAGGCGTAAAAACATTTTCCTGTTAATGCAATGGCTCAACACACACTGTCATATTCCTTGCCCTGTCTCTTGACCTTTCCTTCTTCAACTTGCTCACAGCCCCCTTCTTTCTAGGGAACACTTGCACTTCTACATGGTGCCCTACAGCAGCAGCTCCAAAAGTCTCTGGGCTTCCTTCAAGAAACACAGTGATCATCTACAGTGCATGCATAGATTCCCACACAGCATCATTTAGGAGAATTTGTCCACAATCAGCTGTTCTGCCTCTGCCCTGTAAATACACTCCATGGCCAGCTTTCATGCTTTCCACCTTTTTAGCACAAGCTCTTCTGGGGATTGGCAACTCAAACACGGGCTTCACTCACTAAATAACTGGATGATAGTCATGGACTGTAGAGTGTTGAAGCATTTTTATTTTTATTTTTTTTTTTTTTTTTACCTTTTTGTAAGTTTTGCCTTTCTTATAAATAGTTTGATAAGAGGACCACTGGCTTGATTCTGTGTTCCTATTTTTAAACACTTCGCTTTGAAGAGTGCTGGATAAACATTTAAGCAATACGATCACTGATAGCACACTAACATTTAGAACATTACAATGTAAGCATTCAACTGTAATTAAAACATTTGGAGAGAGACTCAGTAACCTTCTCCAATGCACAACAGTACTTGAAATGCACAAGTTCTGAGAGCGGTTTATGGTCTGTAGCAGTCTGGATATCAGAAACAGACGTACAGCTAACATACGCTATCACAACTTCCCACGTAGCTTCAGTACAATCTCCCTTATTTCAGTTCAGTAAAACAAATAGCACTGGTACATTCAATTTATTTCTCCAACCAGAGAAAAAAATAGCGCTGCTAACCTAGAAAAAAAGCAATCAGAATATCAGCTTAGCTTTTAATCCGCACACTCCACTTCCCAAGCAAATAATGAATGAGCTGGGCCATGATCGCCCTCAGAAAGCATGTCGAAAATCTCCAAAACAATGAGCCGAGGGTAAGGGCTGCTATGGAGCTCAGACATCAAAGGTGTACCTAACAATGTCACATGCTTATGCTCCACATGCTGGGCATCATTTTTATGCACCAGATGTAGCAGGAACAGCAAAACCACAGCACTTGCTGAAAGGTACTCCAGTGCTAAGGTACAAAACTTCCTATGCAAATAGAAGTTAGCACTGACTCGTGGGCATCTGTGGCTGAAAATAAGGATTTGAGCAGAACTTTAACCTTGTGCTCGGACAGAGTGTCACGTTGTCAGCCCAAGGTGTCACATCTCCTCTAACTGTCACACAGCAGTATGTCATCCAAAGTGTCAGTAACTCCAAGCGACTTTTCAACAAACGGCAAGGCTGGGCTTCTGTTGTCACCGTCCCACCCCATGCCCCTCATTACTTCATTCTCCGGCCCTTTATCTGGCTCCTCACACCTCGCTGCACCCCGGGCCCACCTCTGCCCTACGTGGAGACCGCCGGGCACGGTTGGGGGCAGGCACGGCTGCACCCCAAGCAAAGGGGCAGCAGTGGAGCTGCCAGTCAGGTGCTCCGCATTTCTTGGGAAATCTGGGGATTTTCTTTTCCCCATCAACCCTTTAACCCGAGATTATTCTTATTTTTTCCCCTTAAATAAATCCCCACTCTTAAGGTCTCCTATCCCAACTCTATTTCCCCAGCAGCATTTCCAAGGAGGAGCGGAGCCGGACGCCCGGAGCAGCTTACCTTGGGCTCCCCGACACCGGGCTCCTCCTCATAGTAGCCGTGCCCGGACTCGTAGGCGGCGGCGACGGGCAGCTGCCGGGGTCCCAGGAGCACGGCGCCAGCAGCGAGGCAGCAGCCCAGGGAGAGCATCTCCAGCAAGTGCATTGTGCGGAGATGGCAGGGCGGAGCGGGGCCGCGGGGCAGCCGCAGGAATGCGGGCACAATTCCGAGGCTCCTTCTTTTCCTTTTCTCCCCCTCCCCTCTTCTTTCGCTGTCCTCACCCCCCTCCCTCCCCTCGCAATATCCAAGGCAGTAAAATCCGCGGGATGGAGAAGATGCGGCGGCAGCAGCAGCTCCCAGACGCCTGCAGGGGAGCTCCCAGCTTTCCCAGCCTCTTTGCAAATTCTCACCGAAGTTATCCGGACTTTGCCAGGTAAAAAACCCACCAGGAAACCGGACATCCGAGGCTGCGCTCGCTTGGGAGCGGTGGAAAGCGCAGACAGAAGGAGGAGGAGGGAGAGGAAGGAGGGAAGCGGGACCCAGCGGCCGCTCGCAGCCGGCGCCCTCCCGCGGGGCCCGCCCGGCCCGGCGGCTGCGCGGCGCGGAGCGGAGCGCTCGGCCGGGGGCTGCGCGGCGCCTGGGGCTGCGCGGCGGCGGGCGCGGGGGCCGCGCATGGCGAAAGCGCCCTCTGCCTGCGGCTCCGAGCGGCGGGAGGAGCCTCCTTTCCTCCTCCTCCTCCTCCTTCTCTCTCCTGCTGCTGCCGCCTGCCGCCGGCTGTTCAGAGCGAGACGCCGGCGGTCAAGCGGAGCCCAGCTCGTCCAAGCCCAAGCGAAGTGGGACCGGGACCTCGAGAGGAAAATCAAAGATCTCAGAGAGCTGCAGTCAATCAACTAGGAAATCGGCTGTGAAACGGCCGGATGAAGTTGGTTAAAATGCTATCTGAAGTCCCTTTGGAATGATGCAAGATTTCTTTAACCCTAATCAGCTCCTTGTTGAGTAGTGGTGGCCCCTCTGAGACAGCAGAGCAGTGGAACATTTTGTCAGATTAAGACATAGTACCCCAAAAAGCACCCTCCTCCTAATCTCTGACAGCTTGGAGCTGGCAGAAGTTCCATCCCGTTCAGAGCCCAGAACAAACAGCACAGATGCTGTGCCCCACTGAGACTGTGATTGAAAGTAATGCTCACAAGAAAAAAAGTTAAACCACAACAAATTGCACATTGCTAATGAAGTAACACAGAGCAGCCCACACAAGGCTCAGCTAAGCAAACGGAAGCATTCCTTGTACTAGCAGTGACGTGACAGCGTTAGTGAAACATGTAAGCGTTTGAAAAGCTTTTGAAATCATTCTGCATCGCCTTTAAACATTGTTTAGTACCATGCTGTATGGGAACGCGCTGTGTGGGCAGAGCCCTGGCTGCTCGGGTTGGCTGCTGGCAGGCTGCTCACATTACACTGCTCCTGCTCCTCCGAGTCCCATTCTGTGATCGCTCAGGAGCAGCGCCCCAGGGGTTACACAACCAGAGGTCCCTAGCAGGCATGTAGGCGCCTTCTGTGCTGTCTGTGCTACTCCTTATCAATTTCAAGATGGCACTTCATCTTCCTGCTACACATAGCGATTATTCCGTCGCAAGGAAGAAGTAACCATTCCATTTGCAATGGGAATGTTTAAAGCTGTTTTCATGGTTACTCCAAAGTTATTGAAGCACCGACAGTTTTTTAAACACCTTCACAACACAGCGAAGCAATGAAAAGAGGACCAGGCTAGAAGTTAAGCAGAACAGCTACGATGATATAAAATAGCATAAATACATTATGAATCCAATTGTTCTTCAATGGACCCTTGCAGCGCTGCAGATCAAAGCACAGATTAAAGCCAAAGAGCATGCTGCAGGATGCTAAGCCCCTTTACACAGAAATGCAGCATTGCTGGCTTGAGTTCAAGCATTACAGATTGGTGTAGAAAATGACAAAATCAGGCAGTTTATTTCAGAGACAGTCTGTCATTCAAGGAGTATCTCTTTGACAGTAAATCCCAAAACAAAACTGTTCATGCTGTACTTTCACAGCATCAGCTGGCTTCACTGTCTACTTTCCACCTCACTAACACTCTCTCCCTTTTCCCTTTGATTCATAGAAATCCTAAATAGCATTAAATATTTCTACATGAGAGAGCATTTCCACCAGTTACACTGTAAATCTAGTTATGAGTGTCTGGTCATGACACTTTAAATTAGGCATCACAGTGCCTCAAATCACAGCCTAAGCATAAGGATTTTAAAATAAGAAGCATCATAGATTTCAACCATCTTCAGGTTTACAAATGATATTTCACTGCTTTTAAAGATTTCCATCAATTCAGACTGTATTTCTTTCAGTCTTCTTTCAGTAATTCTTTCAGGAAAATTTAACAGTTTTCTGGTTTAGAATCTCTCTTCTCCCCCCCCCCCCCCCCCCCCCCCCCCATCATCACCTTGTGATTAATATTCTTCCTCTTGTCTTCAAATTAAGCAGAAGCCACTGCATTATGGAGATTTAATATCTTTCCCTTACATGAAAATATCCATGCAAGGCTTACAGGACAATTTGTAGATAACAAGTTCTAAGCAGCACTTCATACTCCTGGCAGTGAATCGACCCTATAAACACAAAAAACTAAAGAGATGTCCCTAATGGTGTAGAAGTACAATTCCAGGCCTTGAATGGTTATGTTTTAACAGCAATAATAGATACTATTGGAAAAGAAATGAAGTATTTGATGTCAGATGTAAAATTTCTTCTGATTAATTTTCCTGGACTTGTTTTAAAGTTACATTAAAGTATACACATACTTCATTCTGAGGATGAAGCTAACATAAAGTCAATCTGTGAAGCATGTTCCTCTACAGCACTGAGACATACATGATGTATTCAGTGGATATATGTCAATACCTGCTTTCTTTCTATCTCCACTTCACAGCAACATAAGAAGTGAGAGAGGAACCACTGGAAGAAACATGAGCTGAGCACCAGGAACAGGAAAGCATCAACAGCAGCAATAAAAATCAGTAGCATGCTCTTGTAATTTGGTTTATTTGTGTACTGTGGAGTCTGCTTATTTAAGATGTCTCAGGACTGAATAATAATCTGTTAAACGTTTTCCTTTCAGGATGTCATTTAAATATTTGTGTTTGATTCAAATCAATCTCTCTTGCACTCTCCTCTTAAACAGACAGTACCCAAGAGTTAAAATGACAGACATTTTGGTTTGCTTTTATTTCAGTGCGCATATCTTTACTGGTGAGTGCCAGTAAAATATAATTTTAGTGTAAATATCAAATATAGAATAGTTTTTTCCCCAAATGCAGCATCTCAAAAGACTCAGGAATTGCAATTCTATAGCCATTCCAAGGAATTAAGTATTGTTGTACACTTAGTCCTAAACTCCCTTGTAGCACTGACTCTCCCTTTCTTCCTCCAATACTTAAAAGCATGGAAGGAAAAATTTTTTATTGATCAATATCTTAAATATCAAAGTCCATTGTAAAAATACTGCTAATAAGCCTGATTTATATATGTAGAAGAAAGAATTTCAGGTTCAGTATCAAACTACCAGAACAGTGATCACTAATGAACTTTGTGCCAAATGAACCTTTAAATCCTGTGTTTTTTTCTTATCAATTTTATATAACCAGCCTATAGAAGAGAAAATTTGGCTACTGAGAAAGAACAATGCAGTGGATTCCATGCTGTAGTCCACTTCTCTCCTCAAATCTTCTTCTTTGTACAAAACATATCGGATTGACCAGAAATGTTTAGAAGTTCTACAGTTTCAGCAATCTCCTTCAAAATAACTTTCCTAATTCCTAACCAGCCAATGGAAAGACAGCTTGGTTTTGTGCAAGCATTCAGTTGATATTTCCTTATATGAACCTAGAAAAGGATTTAAAAGAGAAGGGGCCTGAAGATCACCAAAAGAAACTGAAATCTTTTCTGACTTTAATCAGGCATTCTTACCATATACCATAAACCATAGGAAACTGTTCTTTACAAAACTTCCAGCTAAGAACTCTTCAACGTAGCTTTAACCTAAAAATACTGACAAGATGAATAGCTTTAAAATCAATGAGAGATGTCACATCTGCAAAGCCATTTTCTGTGGCAGTTGGCCAAGTGTTTTTGTGTTTCTGGATTTTATTATTTCCAGAACTTTTTATTATTATTTGGAAATTTCTCTTTTCCTTTTGATATACGTGTTCACCTCTCTCGAAAATTAACTGACAAAACAGGAATCCTTCATCTTCAGCCTTTGACACTGGTTGATACCCAGGATTACAGGATTATTGGGATTTCTTTGTCCTCAGGGATCCTCTTTCTAAACATTTAAAATTAATATGATTGGCATTTCACATTAGAATTCCTTTATGCTTCTGGATAACTGCAAGAGCATAAAACCCTGGCAAATTTTGTCATAGGAAGAGGCTGATGTGATGCAAAAAAAATGGGCAGCGCAAGGCAGTATCTTAAGGGAAGTGCTTGAATTCCCTAAACCAAATTATGTATCTTTAATGTTGGAAAAAAATTTGAATAGAGAGAGCTCTCACACAGATTTTAATGTAAGACAGCTGAATGAAATGTTTCTCTTTATCATATTTTACCTTCTATTGTGTGAGTCCTTGTACACATGAACAGGCACGCAGAGAATATTAGCTTCCTGTGAACTAGTTAATCTCTCCATGTAGTAATGTTGTTCCAAGTTAGAATCTCTGGCTGCAGCAGTAAAATGACCGACTGTAACCTCTTCACTGATAGCTTTGCATAAACTAATTTGTATATAATTGAAGTAATGTCACTATATAAATTTAGGGTCAACAAAATGTATTAGCACTTAACAGCATGGCTGCTACACATCTACAAATCTAATCAGATCAGGATAAAAAAATATGTACTGAGTAAATGAGTAAATAAAATAAAATGGTAAAAATAGAGGAGTAAACTGTTGCAATTCTAATTCAATGGATGCAGATGTTGGAAGAGTATGAGGGAAGTGGGCAGCAGAAACAAACAGTCTTGCATGCTCTCCCTAAACAACATTGCCAACTGCAACTACAGGAAACAAAACTAGGTAGTATAGACAGTCTGAGCCAACAGGGCATGGCATTTCTTATATTTTGAGGGAAACTGAATCAATTCTTCATTGATTGAGGTCCAAACCACAAAGTGAATTTGTTCTTGTCTTTCCATCTCATGTTCAGACCACGCACACTTAGTCATAACAAAAACACTTATTTTTACACATCAATATTGCAGCAGTAGTTAGTCCAACAGATAAGGTTGGAGGAAAGTACACAAGAAATCCCATCTATAAAATACTTGTTATCATCTACAATGAATTGAATATGGAGTGCTATTGTCATTACAGTTGAAACCAGATTTTATCATTCAATCTTAAGAAGAAATACACACATGCACCATTTGTTGATGAGGAAGTCACAAATAGTTGAACTGACACCACCTGTACATTGGTTTCTACAGAGGTTTTCTTCTCTGCTAAAACAATTGCTTAATAAAAAAATGTAACATGTTTCTTTCAAAAGCTGTGCTTTGTGCTGAATAAAGTGTGTTGTTGTTCCTAAGGATATATTCTGGGCACAAAATCAGAACGATCAAGAGCTACCATCTTTGAGAATTCAAA